ATTAGAGGTCTATAAAAATCACAAGTTTCCATCGTTCAAGTTTGAACCCCCTGATTGGGTATGAAAGTGTTGAAAAGAAATATTTTCAGATAAATTATGAACATACAAAAATGGATATATATAAATATTCTCATCACATAGAGAATGCGAATTCTCAATGTATTGCTTTATATAAATATATATCCATTTTTGTATGTTCATAATTTATCTGAGAATATTCCTTTTCAACTCGATCATAATAGTTCGATGAAAAATAATCGTACACCTAATTATTTTACAAATTCAAGAGGGAATGGAGACGTCAAAAATCATCATATTTCTATAGATAATTTATTGATGCAAGTATACCATAACCAACCTGATTTGGTGCAGGAATGTGGCGATGCTCTTGAGAAACTAGCTGAACAGGAGGAAGTCGAACTAGTATGGGTTCCGGGTCACAGGAGGGTGCCTGGGAACGAGCTGGCCGACGAGCTGGCTAAAATCGGATTCGCGATACCGTTCTGGGGACCGGAGTCTGCAGTGGGCATAACAAGAAGGCAAACTTCGTCTGCCCTTAACAAATGGGCAAACAAGGCACTAGAAGGATATTGAAGGCGTGCAGGCAATCGAGAGACCTGGTGGCCGGTCCAAGCAAGCCAAAGACGGCTTGGTTACTGGGCAGGGATCGCCGAGTCCTGCGCCTTCTTATAGGGGTACTGACAGAGCACAACAGGTAACGCAGACACCAATCACTCATAGGTGTGGAAGATAGTCCCACTTGCCGTGAATGCGGAGAAGATGAGGAGCCATCACTTCACTTCCTCGGAGAGTGTGAGGCGTATGGAAAGATGAGATTCGAAATCTTTGTAGTAGATAAACTACAACAGGAAGATTTGGTCGAGTTAGAGTGGTCGGACATCCTGACCTTCATCAGAAGGACGGAAAGATTCGAAAAGGACAACTAAAAGAGGGATGTGTAGATATGTGGAGAGCAGGGTTGGCAGAAAGGGCCCATGCCCCTCCCCCCCACAATACTACTACAACTCAGTGATTCCTTCTGGTTTGAAAGGTGATATGACCCAGATAGTCCATTACAATCATTCAGCAATAAATAAGTGTTTGAAATCAGCGCAGGAGTCTGGAAGATCTTGAAATTGGGAAACTTATTGAATATACAACAACTGAAACAGTTGAAGAAGCCTTGCAATCAATATCTGAAAGACACGACGGTATTCCTCTTACATTTGTTTCGGACGGAGTTCAATTGAATCCGAACATAAATCATTGGATACAAGCAATTGTGACGAAGCATGTCAGAAATAGGACATACATTTCAAAGGTGCACAATGATTCTGAATATTATCGAAACAAAAAATTCATCAAAATCGATCATAATAGTTCGATGAAAAATCATCGTACACCTAATAATTTTACAAATTCAAGAGGGAATGGAGACGTCAAAGATCATCATATTCCTATGGATAATGTATTGATGCAAGTATACCATAACCAATCTAAGAAGAATTATGATTCAGATGAAGAATGTTCTCCTGGAACAAAAACACAAAGTTCGTGTAGCTCACCAAGTGACAATTCACATATTTAGTCTATTTCAGGTTACATCACAAAAAGAAGTCGCATGATAAAACTACTGCATGGCGTAGCAATGTATCAAGATCTATATAATATGATGTGAATTTAGCAGAAAATAAGCAGGTATAGCATTTTTTTCTTCGCTTGGAGCGCATGAAAGGGAATCCCTATAATGTTCAAAGAACATCGTGCGTTCCTAGGGAGGATAGCGACAGGAGGTAGGTATTGGAATTGTTTTTGAACTTTTGGAGGTTTTTAGCAAAAAATTAGCAGTCATAGCAAGCACAGCAATTATAGCAGTTTCTATGAATATAAAGCAAATTCAGCAGGAGAATAAGTGATTATAGCAAACATAGCAATAAATGTACCAAATTCTATGAATATGGAGCAAATTCAGCATGAGAGTAAGCAACTATAGCAAGCATAGCAAATTTAGCATATTCTGCATGTGAAACTAGTTCAGCGGAAGACAGCAATCAGCGATCGTAGCAAACTCAGCGAAAACAATAATGAGCGAATTTCAAGAACTTGCGTGTCCTCCAGTGGCTTGCTCAATGTTTCGGCAAACTCCCTCAAATACTGCACTGACGGGCTAACCAAATCTGATTTTGCAAGTACCATGTGGAGTGCATGGTTGACTTCGAGCAACCTAAAGCTGGTATCCTCGAAAAATAGATCGAAAAAATCGAATTTTACTCCCTACTTACAAATTACTCAATATATTGAACATATATATGATATAGGTATTAAGCCAGAAGTACCAGAATATTATTAGTAAAGGTACTCTGTATCAATAACAGTAGGTGGGGCCGTACTTGGGCCTGGGAAAATTTCAGAGACCGTGGGAAAATTCCTATCCCTTTGATGTTGTCTCCGTTCCGCACAGCACTAATTAACTAGATTTCAATTCCTTTGATGTTGCCGTCTTACCGCAAGGTACTAGTTTATTGGTTTTTAATTGTCGTAATCTCAAATGAAGTCTCACAGAGGCATCGTCCTATGCAGTGAATAAATTAGAACGTGAAGCGGGGTGTAGATAGAATGGGCCTTAATTATTTTGAAACTATACGAAGGATAGCACATTGGTAGCATATATACAGGGTAGATGAAATCAAGTTTCTCATAAAAAATATAGAACGACAGATCAATTCAAATGTCTGCTCGCTATTTGTTGTTGTCTAATGGAATAATACAGAGGATAGTATTTTGGTGGATATACAGGGTTGATGAAATTGAGTAAATACGATGACGAATCAATAAAAATGTCTGCTTGCTATTGGTTGGAGCGTAATGAAATGAAATAATACAGAGGATGGAACATTGTTAGATATATACGGAGTTCATGAAAATAAAGTACTCATGAAGAAATAATACGCCGACAAATGTTTGTTTGCTATTGGTTGGTGTGTAATATAATGGAATGATACAAAAGATGGGACATTGATAAATATACGGATTTAACGAAATTCAGTTCACCATAAAAAATATAGAACGACAGATGGATTCAAATGTCTGCTTGCTATTCGTTGTTGTCGAATGAAATAATACAGAGGATATTATTTTGGGGGATATACAGGGTTGATGAAATTGAGTAAATACGATGACAAATTAATCGAAATGTCTGCTCGCTATTGGTTGGAGCGTAATGTAATGAAATAATACAGAGGATGGAACATTGTTAGATATATATGGAGTTTATGAAAATGAATTAATTATGAAAAGAATACGCCGACAAATGTTTGCTTGCTATTGGTCGGTGTGTAATGGAATGGAATGATACAAAGGATGGGACATTAGTGAATATACGGGTTTAAACGGATTGAATTTCTCATGACACGAATTCGATGGCCTGCTTGCTATGGGTTGTTGTATGATGGAGAATGATGACAGCCTTTCAAACATTACCTATAAAAAATAATCATCCACGGTATACGGGGAAGTTGATGAACATGATTCTCATGATATACCTAGAGAGTTGAAATATTGCCTCTTCCGACCCCATTTCCGCAAACTGTTTTTCAATATATAGGTGTTATGAGGGTACTGCAATCATTCATGGATTGTGAAGGCCCTTATATTTGTGCAAACATACCTACTTATACACAAAGTGTTAGCATTCTCGAGATACCCATTTGATTCCATCTCCAGTCACCATTTTTCAAGATACAATGGTCCTGTGTTGGTACTTCAAATGACGGATTATTGACAAACAATGCATTTATGCGAACATAATCATATACAAAGTATTACCGTACGCATGATATTTCATTCACTACGACCTACTATGAAACATTGATAATCATCGAAACTAATGGTACCTAGCTATATATTTATGATTTTCATGGTACACAGAGTTAAAAAATTTACACTTCTAGTACCAGTAGTCATTCACAGAGTGTCACCATTCTCGAGACAGCTCATTCAGAACAATATGAGATGTTATCCTTCAAAACTGATAGTATCTAGAAAAATGTCGAATATCCGCTGATTCTCAACAAGACAGAAGATACGAGAGAGGTGTCAGAGAAGGAATTGAAAATAAAAAGAGAGGTTCCCACTTCGACCATGAGGTATTATGCATAGATTTGTTGGTGTCATGATGGCGCTATAATGGTAGAGGTGGGGTAGGGAAAAATCGTGACTCAGACCTCCGGAATTAAGTATAAAACTGTTGATAACTTTGACACAAATCTAATAGGGTCCAACAGCCTCTTACTTTGATCTCGCGATAGTGCGTTTGGTATCTCTGTATCTGATCCTCCTTTTGGTATGCTAAAACTGGATAATAAGAATTGTTGAGAAATGATTCTGCATAAATCTATTATATGCTCATTTATAGGGAGAGCAAAAATATTCCCGATCGAGGTTAATATCTTGAAAGCTTACCGGAGAACAACAAAAAAATATTTTTCCAAATGATCTACTTCTGAAATCTTCTTTCTTCCAGATTCATATTTCATTTGCAGTATGGGTTTTATCTGAGTATCATATTTGCTCAAGGATGGGATGAGGAAAATACAGGGTATGTGCTTATTAGTCATCTAAAGCCGTCCAAGGGAGACCACGTGGAGGTTAAGCAATTCTGCCTCGGGAAAACAGGATATCCATAATGAAGAAAGAACATGGATACCCTGGATTTGAAAATAATGATTACTACTGATTTTCAATTTGCCGTCACTGTCTGAATACTCCAATTTCGCATTATTATAGGGTTTTCATTCCTAATGCTATTTGGACATTTCACTCCTAGGACTCCATCTAGATCCAACAATACATCTGGAGATGCTCCATGAAAATAATATTCATTGTGGATATGAAAACCGGATCGCTGATAAGTCAGTTTGATGTATTTAAGGATATTCTTGTATCGCATTCGGTTCATTGTCTACACCATGCCTCGTAGCGGCATTACTGAATACATCCTGCTATAATAAATTCTGTACTATATTCAATTTACTCCCTACAGATCGGGCTTCACATATGGAACCAAAATGAGAAGCCGTTACTCTTATTCGCCTCTCCTCAAACCATTTAGGAGAATCTCTTTGATTCCTAGTGGATGCTTCTATTGCAATTTTATCATTACTTCTCTTTTCTAGATATTCCAGAAATTCAGAACAACTACTCCTCAAACTGATTGTCTTCAAATTTTTGTTAGGGGAAACTGAACAAAATTTGCAAGTAAAAACGTCATCATGGATATCGACTGAAGAAGCGTCGCAACTAACATGAATCCAGCCTTTACATTTTCCACATTCAATCCAATCAACGGTGAAGTTCAAAGGACCATATCCACAGTATGAACATATGTCTTTGATAATGTCGTTAAGGCAATTCATTGAATTTTTCAAATCATTACAAATCTAGGATTTTCTTTGAAAGCATTGTTAATAGTTTCCTGTAAAGTAAGTATCGATAACTCTCACCTTTTTTTTCTGCATGTCTCTTGAGATGTATATTCTGATACAGAATTGAATATTTTCTTTTTGTTTAGTCAATTTTGTTTTTGGGATATTGAGAATAAACTCTTTATATGAGGCAAGTACATTTTCCAGACTTTTTCACAAATATCTAGAACACTTATTGTTTTTCACGCCTCCCAATATATCGTTTTTTGAATGACCGAAGTAATTTTCCTAAAATGAATTACTCAATTTGACATCATTTATCAACATCAAACCCGACCAGAGAGGTACTAATGGCATATATTTCAATAAAATAATATTTGCATATTTACTACTGTGATAGGTACATATATTTTTTGTCTGGACCAGTTGACAACATAATTTTATTTTTCAATCGATCGGAATGTTTATAAAATGGGTGATTTTTATGCAACCCCTGGTTTTCATCAGTTGTTGGAGTCTCTGTAATTTTATTATCATCATCTGATAGTACAAAATCATTCTGATTCTGATTTAGACTGGCGAAATACATTTCAGCTCTTAAAACATCATCAGTGATTAATCGACTCAATAACAACATATTAATATCCACAAACCATTCCTCGAGTTTATCCATGGCGTGTATATTAATTAATGTTTTTGTCATAAAAATGTTCATTAACATCTTTACTGAACATTTTCATGATATGTGAACAGCATAAATTGATGGTTATCAATGACGATGAGACTATTAGTTGCCCAGTGGAAATCTGATAAGTTGTTTCGAGATAATCTGAGAGTATTTGTCGAATAAAAGCTTTACTGAGAGCGTGAATGTTTGTGAACCTGAAGTCAGTATAACAACAGATCTGAACGTAGGCAATTTTTCATGTTCCTCACAAAAAGTTCGGAATTGGTTGAGAATGTTGAAAATTGTTTTAGCGTAATGGCTACTTGATATCATCTCGAAAACAGGAAAAATTCGTCCAGTGGATGTAGGCAACACTGCTGTATATAATAAAATTTCAGTTTTCGTGTCTTCAGGTTTTTTAATGATACCGCCAGTAGCATCCAAAAATAAAACTGGACGTTCATCACAAAAATTACTCTTATGTAATACCTGTTCCTCACTGTGTATTTTTACATTAAGAGGAATACATACCTCTCCTATGTATTCAGGATGGTCCCGTTGCATTTTAATCAAATCGAGAAAATCATTTTTTTCCAGGTCCCAGTGCGCTATTGACTCTGACCTCATCTTTTAATCGATTTGATCGATTGAAGGTTTCCTTGTTTTATCACGGAGCTTTTTGCTATGAGGGTGGCCTTTCTTTTGTAAACTGAAGGCTTCAGATTCAGTAGTTTTTTTCTTCACAACCCTTCAACTCCCCTAATACACGAAGTTATTGGTTGAGGATGGCAATAATCAACTGAAGAAGAGTATACCTATATACCTTCACACTGGACCCCTCAATAGTTATAATTTTTTTTTGCATTTATGTCTATTATTTGTACAGACTGTTATGGTACATACGTTATTGACATGCTTGTTTATTCTATTTTTCAAATAAAATGAATAATAGTTAGGTATTAATTTTCCGCTATAGACTATCAAGAAAAGGACATCTTTCTCGATGCAGAAGCTAGGTACCTTCTAAAACCGTACACCCTTTGTATGTAGATTCTGGTAGATTAATATCATTCACTGAGTTGAGATTTTCGAAAACTTTTGGGGACTTCGAAACTTTCCAGTGTCAAATCGAATTCAAAAGTATTCTCAGCAGTAGATTCGCTTGGTGATTGTACATCACTTCTTGGAGTAGATGAAATAATTTGAGATTTGTTTTCTTCTGGTGAAATTTCTGGATTTATTCGAGAAAATGATTTTAGCTTATCTCCGATGGAGTTACTACTCGAATCAGTGATTTGCTACGATTTTGTGAAACCACTGTCGATATTTCACTTCTGGTGAAATTTCTGGATTTATTCGAGAAAATGATTTTAGCTTATCTCCGATGGAGTTACTACTCGAATCAGTGATTTGCTACGATTTTGTGAAACCACTGTCGATATTTCAAACGATCCTTCATCTTTTCTAGTGAGGCAATTCTCTAGTGAAATTGAGGGTATTTTTGAAATATTAAAACATGATCAGAAGAATCCATTTCGCCTCCTGATATTTTATGTGATATTTTCAATTTATTACACACTTTCTGATACATCAAAATATGTTCAGATCTATATGATTTAAAACTTCCACTGCTCTGGGCATTTTGAAATGAAGACACTATATTATCGATTTCATGTCCACCTTTGAAATTTTAGAGGCTGCAGCAGTCATAAGTGATTTTTCGAAATAATTTTCATTTCTGTGAATTATACCCTGTACACTTGACTTGGGTATTTGATAACAGTGAACTTATGACTACCGCATATTCATGAAAAAAGTTCATCATCAGGTTTTTTCGTCATCAGGACATTGAAAGTAATACCAGGGTCAAAAAATAATAAGGATTCAACCATCAAATTCTTCATAAACTCATTATTTCTTATCATGATGGTGCTTTTTTCAATACTAGAGTTCCATAGGGTTTTATTCTATTGATTCACTGCTTATCTGAATTGTCAACCTCTTCCTACCTAAACCTTGAAGGTCAATTAAAATAAAAATGAACTAAATCTAATGATGGAACATTATTCCTTCAAAAGAATACTAGAAGAAAACTGGAAACGAAGCAATAAAACAAAATGAAAAATAATTCGTAAAGAGAAACTGAAAAAATAATTCTATGCAAAATATGAACAAACTCAGCGCTGTTGAAACTGAAAGTAATTCAATGCAGAGTGAGACCTCTAGATATTTACTAGAATGATAAAAAACAAGTGTAAGATCCAAGAAGAAATAATTAAATTTAACAAATCAACACTTCACGAAAAGTTAAGAAGAGAAAAATATGACAAAATGAAATGAATTTCAGGAGGTAGGTTTTTATGAAAATTTCATTATATATAGGTCCTCATCAGATTCGCAGTGGATATACAGGGTGTGCGAAATAATTGGGATGAACAAAAATTCTGATGACTCTGAATGAACTCAATCATAACTGTTATGGATTTTCTGTGAGTGCTTCGAGGAGATACAATGTTGATATTAAGAGATTTTAAGTATTTTTCCTCTTCGAGAAGAAAAGAACAATTTGTATTTTCATTCATCATTATACCTACTATTATGAACCAGATACAAATTGTGAATGCAATATAAAAATGAGGTAGGTACCAATAATACCTATTAATTCTTGAATAGTCCAGAGGTTGATAGAAGTAATGAAATTCCTGATGGAAATAAATAAACTGAAGAATATGAAATAAATACTGTCTGTATGTTCTTCGAGGAGGTGAAATATTCATTTTGCAATATATTTTGGGTTTTCTTTCCTCGTCTCTCAAAAAATATATATGTTTATTTTATAAGTGATCTGTAATGAGGAGAGTATTGAATAATGTCATTGTGAAGTGCCAATAGACATTAAATTCCCGAACAAAGCGCACACGACTGAGAAATAAGAAACAGTAAACCTCCATTTTGTTGAAAACAAGAACAGATTCGTTCCCGAAACGTCCAAAGCTAAGTAATTTTTCATATATTTTTCATGATTTTTCAATATTCATTTTCAATTTCCATCTTTCAAAAAGAAAAGTGTCACTGACAATCATCAATAAAATCTTTCAGGTTCCTGAGAGTTGAATCTTAAGAGCAGTGAAATTCCGGGAGAGTATTCAATACTTTTCCTATCACAGATCACTTATATTATATACAGTGTGTCCTCCTTAAGGACTTACCACCCCTGTAAAATTGTTATTACCTGACCGATTTCGAAAAACTTTTTTTTGTTGGATAGGTATTTGAAATGTCCATCCAACAAGAGAGAGATTTTACTCATATGAACTGTAACTGTGGCCAACTGCGACCAGCTTTATTGACCTATATTTGAGAAAGTACTATTAGGGATTTTTTTTCACAAAAAACAATGATGGATTCTGAATCACGATCACTTGAAAAACACCTTTACTGATTTTAATCATCATAAAACACAGGGTGTCCGTAAAAACGAATTATGTTTTTTTTTTGTATAGGTGATCAGAAAATGTAGTACCTATTGTGGTATTTTTGAGAAGAATTATTGATGACACATCATTATGAGGATCACTTTGAACATATCTGTACCGATTTTCATCATTCAAAAATACGATGTGTATGAGAAAACAATTAAAAAGAAAAAGTAGGCAATATTTTTTCTTCAACTCAAAAAAAATATTAATTTGATTTTTCGAACACCCTGTATTTGATGATGATGAAAATCGGTACAGGTATGTTCCAAGTGATCCTGAATCATCTTTTTATTTTGAGTGAAGAATTATCAGGATGAAAAATATTGCTACCTATCCTTTTTAATTTTTTTCTCAGAAACATTGTATATTCAAATGACGAAAATTGGTACAGGTATATTTGAAATAATCCTCAATGATAATTTGTGATTATTTCTTTTTAGAAAAACCACAGAACTACATTTGCTGATCACCTATTTGAAGAAAATGATGATTCGTGTTTTCGGACACCCTGTGTTTTATGATGATGAAAATCGGTACAGGTATATTTCAAGTGGTACTGTTTCAGAATCCATCATCAAGTTTCGCGAAAAAAAATCCCTAATAGTACTTTCTGGAATATGGGTCATTGAAATTTGTCGCAGTTGGCCACGATAACAGTCCAAGAATTAGATCACTCTCTCATTGAATGGGCATTTCAAATACCTATCCATCAAAAAAAGTGTTTTCGAAATTGGTCGGATAATAACGATTTTACAGGGGTGGTAAGTCCTTAAGGTGGACACACTGTATATTTTTAGAGGCGAGGAGAGAAAACCCAAAAAATGAATATGAAATAAATATGAAATGAATATAAATATGAGATATGTCGAAGAATTCCCGTTCCTCAAAATTCTCCCTGGTGTTTTGAATGGATCAAACGATTTTTTTTTTTTTTTTCGAAAATCGAGTGAAAATGATAGTTCCTCATTTTCCGCAGGCTGAGCAATTAGATTTTCTTGCATAATGAGATTTCATGGATGTAGTAGAAGACTTTTGCGCTAGTTTCAGTTTGACAGTCTGGTGCTTTTCGGTGAAAAGGATTTTTTTCAATTTTGAATGTTGTCAAATCATTAGCAGTATAATGATCTCTGAAATTGTTAATGTGGTTTGATCGAAATAATGAATCTGATCATATGGAATGAAGATGATCGGGAAATATTTTTTTCAGGTCATACGAGGTATTGATGTTTCATTCATCTGATATCATGTGCATGTCTGAGTCCAAATTCTGTTCAATTTGAGTGATTAGATCATGAAGCTTCCATGTAATTGATTCATTTTAGTGAAATAACATTTATTGAATAAATTGACCGCCCGCCACTGGTATTGTCTGTCGGGTAAGTTCGAAAATTTTAGCAGCTAGCTTAGGCAGCTAGTTTCACACTGGTCAGTCCTGGCTTGTGAGTGGTCGAGTGGTGTTCAGTTTTCATTTTGTCACAAAATCAATTCACAAACGAAAAACACTCATGAACATTTTCAAGTTTTTAAATTCATTGCTTCCAGCGTTGCCAGTTGATGTTTTATGGTAATTTCATGCAGAGAAAAAATCGTGACCCTATTTTATTTGTAAAGGTCGTGTCTCGATCACGGTCCAACAATTTGATCAAATTTGTTTGAGGTGATACGGCATTCTTGTCTGTTCGACTAAAAATGGTTTGAAATCTCAAGAAATCTTTGTCACACGATCTGAAGATATTTTAACAAAAATATTGGTTTAAGTTGGATCTCTGCTTGAATGGGAAAAATCACAAGGAAAAATTAAATGAAAACTCATTATATGGTGAGTATTTTGTGTATTTGTAATGCAGAGTGATTAAAAAAAAAGGGGGAGATAATAATATGTACAGGGTGATTCACCATAAATGTCCCCCCCTCTAGCTCACTTATATTTGAACCGTTTTGAAAATTTGAAAGATAATCTGAAACGATTTTTCAGAAATTTTTTTCCCGTTGCATCAGAAAATACAGGGTGCTCGGAACAAACGATCTACAGAGTACTAATTGATTTTTCAAAATGGAACACCCTGTATTTTATTGTATTTTTAGATTCTTCCTGAAGAGCTGATTTCATCAATGCATCACACTTGGGGTTTAGCGGGAATGATTACAGAGATATAGGGTGTTTAAAATCGAGATTTTCTAAATTTAGGATTTGCTTGTGCCGAAACTATTCATTATTGTTCAAAACGGCTTCTATGTTTCCATCTCAACTTTTGATTTACTATCTAGTGAAATTTAATTGGAACATTTACAGGGTGGTTCAAGATTCAGAATTCTGGTCACCCTGTATCTGTTCCAATTATTAAATGTCAGTAGATAGTGAATCAAAAGTTAAGATACGGACATGAAAACCGCGTGACCGATAATGAATAGTTTCGTCACAAAAAAAAATCCTGAAGTTAAAAATCTCGATTTTGAACACCCTATATCTCTGTATTCAGTCCCGCAAGACCCCAAGTGTGATGCATTGATCAAATCAGCTCTTCAGGGAGAATCTAAAAATACAATGAAAAATAGGGTGTTTCATTCAAAAAAATCAAATAGTACCCTGTAGATCGTTTGTTCCGAGCACCCTGTATTTTCTGATCTAGCGGAAAAAAACTTTATCGAAAATCATCCAAGATAATATTTCAAATTTTAAAATCTGTTCAAAAATAACTGAGCTAGAGGGGGAGGGGAGGGGGGGCATTTATGGTGAATCGCCCTGTACAAGATGATGGCTTCAAAGAAGAAATAATATTCGTATAGAGGAGTCCTCTACTTATGATTTTTGATGAGGTCAGACTGAAACATATCCCATAGTTAATTTCAATACTGCTCAAGAATGGATTGGAGATGTTTCAGATTTTCATCAATCCATATATATTTGCGCGTGAACGTATACCTCCAGAAATGAGGTGAGATCATAACAAAGTCTCTAGTCAACCAAGCATAAATTTTGGATTGGAGCAAGACGAAAATATTCGTATAATTATCCGAAGTGGTCCTCAGTCCAATTATCAGGACAAGCATTTTTGAAGTATTGATAATATTAATGATAGTATCACTGAAGAAAACATGGAAACAAACATCCTAACCTCATTGTTTGATCCAACATGACAAATATTAAGAACAAGTTCTAAATGTCAGCTGCTGTTTGACTGGACGTCACTGATGACATTACAGAGATCAGTATTTTGATCAAATTGTTGGACCGTGGAGAGACAGCACTCACAATCCTATTAGTATTTCATCAATATATTATGAACGTAAGAGCACGAATCTACTATAATCGACTGGCGCCAAATCATAAAATTCACTTGGTTTGCGTCCAAAAAATGAACAGTCCGAAACCGAAATTATCAGAAGCATCAGCACTTTCACAGAACTAGGCGTTTAATAATTTTTGTGGGACGAGACAATCATTATCAAGAAGATTACTCTGCTGTTCTGTTCTTTATTAGAATGGTTACCTACTTGCCTGTTTCATCCATGAATTTTCTATTGTTCTATCCCATCAAGGATACAGGGCCGTTATTGTTAACGCGCGGTGCCTACCATTTTTACAAAAGCGCCAATCATCAATTACACTGACATAAACTATTAATATCTAGAGCTAGTAGGGCCATAAGGTATAAGTTGCGTTTTATTTGTCCGATTCTGCCCCCGGAATCACTTCAATGTGTCGTTTTATTTGCAACTTTTTCGATTCCGTTTGCTCTACTTTTCATTCCTTTTCACTACAATGAATGATACAGAATGACTGTTGACATTTGTCAAAAAAATCGAATTTGATTGACGAAAAACGAAACTTTTTGAAGGTAGAAGACTTTAAGAAGACATTTTTCTGTTGCCACCACCGCTACCACAATGCTACAAATGAAACGCTGTGCCTCTTACGAAATTTAACTGAAGAACATGAAACATGCACATTTAGGACCGATCATGTATCTTACTACTTACTCTTATATGATTTTCTACACCAAGAAGAATGACAACGCTATTTTTCATGAACGACAGTTCAGAGGTTCCTACGAATTGACCAGGAAGCGATTTCTGGCGAGCAATTAACACGAGACTTTCGGGTTCTGGAATATGGCATATAGCCAATATAGCGGCCTATAGATAGTAGTTACATCATATGTATCGTGACATCTTATTCCATCTGATAGAAATGGCTGACATGGCGAATATGATATCAAACAAGTCAAAATTATGAATTCATTTTTCATCATGTGTCATTGACAATCTCTTCTCCTGTTTATAGCAGATTTTCTCGTAATGTGAAAATTATGAGGAAATCTAGGATTTAGATTGTTTGCTGTCAACCGGCAACTCTGCACTTTGTGCCTGCTAGACCACAGAACCGTTGATTGACAATCAACGACAGAACTCATAGTCATGAAGATCGGCGCGACCCGTGGCGGTTTCAGAAAGTTTTCTTCTCGCTTGTCGGAGATAGGGGAGTGGGGACTCGTTACACCAGTCTCTAGACTTTCTCTAGACAAAACTAAATCACCAATACTACCAACTTTGACACAAAAATTCACTAGTACCATCTAACGACGAATATGAGAAGCTCAAACAGTAAGATAGGATCGTGGAACCTCGAATTGAAGAATTGAATAGATCCCTTCACCACAAATTGATTGATTGAGGCAATGTCGGCTAAATGAGAAAGGAATCTCATTTAGCCGACATTGAAATCTTAAATTGAACAAGGTGTTGAAGATCGCAGGTCGCATGATCTGTGATTGCATTTTAGCATATTATTATGTTTAATGATTTCTGTAATACTGTAATCGGACCCGGATCCTCAACCACTCTCAACAACTCTCATCCTCATCTAGCGCATGATCATTCACAACTTTTGTTTATTAACATGGCTGGTGAAGTGTGTTCACATTTTTCGTGTAAAGTCGCAATTTTTGAGCACGCTGATGTTATAACAGTGGTCAGTGAGTGTTGATCTTGAAACCAAATTTTAGTGCTGATTCATCAAGTGAGTAATAAAATTCTTCTGTTTACAACTTTTGTCAGGAAATCGATGAGTAGTTCAATTAATTGTGTATACATATTCAGTTTTTTTGCAAATTTACGTTTTTGGCACCGCTGCTTTTTGCTTAGGACTTTTAGGTTATGGTTCGGGTTATGGTTATCACCGTTATCAGTAGTTTATTTATTTGTATGTTCACTATACACACGTGGAAAATTTTGAGCATTGCAAATTGCAATAATAACAAGCAGAGAAGCAAGGAAGCACACTTATAATAATTTAAATTATATAGTTATCCTCGAGGGTATCCTGCAAGATGGCATGGATACGTAGATATGTAATAGCTGGGGTGATAAGGAGGGTAATATAGGTACTTGAGTAATTACCCATAAGTACATTTATAGATTAGTTCACCAAAGCACCTCAACTTTTATATCATGAGTCAAAAAATTGAAAAAATTAATGAAATATAAACATTGATTGATACATTGATTTTTTCTTTGCAAAAGCATCGAAAATAAAATATAGTCTTGTATGATTTGGCAAGGAATTATCAGCTAGGTACTTATTGGATAGAGAATAATCTAGACACAAAAGCACCCCAAAAGCAACTGTGCACATGTCAATCATTACATGATCATAATGGGTTAAATATTCCCCCTAATTGATTTTGTTATTTGTTCTGTTCTACAATATCAACATCGCCGACCTTGACTTCATACATCACAAACAAAAGCAATTGAGGAACTTTGATAATTATATCAAAAAGAGGAGAAACGCGCGTCTTGCTACTGGTAATTGGTCAATTGAAAAAGTTGAAAAAGTTCAGAAATTCTGGCAGCCCACTTCATATAGGTTAAATTGAAATACAGGGTGTCTGGAAAGGTCATGTCATGAATGATAGAATGAGCCAAAATAATGTTAGTAGGTACTTTATTTAGAAAAAAAATTATCACAATTCCTTATGGAGTTATTGGCCTTGAAAGTTCCAATAAAAAATAGTTATTTAGTTTAGTGAGCTGAAATCGCAGCTGAAATCTAATGGTTTTCCCTTGGGTTTTCTCGTGTGTAATACACAATTTTTTGTGACTGGCAAAAGGGAGAATATATTAATTAATATAAAGTTTTTAACAGGAATTACAGCTGCCTTTCAGGCATCTTTTTGTAGGCATCTTTTGTCATTTTTTTTTAATTATCAAATATTTGTCAGTCTAATTTTGTGATTGGATTAAAAAAAAATGGAACTTAGTGGTTGTTTAGTAATTTCTAATTTAAGTAACTGCGCAGTGGAATGGAAGATAAAAGGACTTACATTTCTTTCTCAGAGACTGTTTTGCCTTATTTTTCGGACCTAGCACAACAAAAGCCGTCAACAGTGTATATATACAGGGTGTCTGTAAAAGGTTGGGACATGACTCTGCTGTGGACTCCTGGGATGAAATCAAGTTGATCAGGCCAACTTACCTATATCCAAAATCGTCTTGTTGAGTTGGTACAAGGCGTTGAAGTTTTTTTGAAAAAAAAAAAATTCGCTCATAAAAAGAGTAGGC